TTATGTGACTGGCAGGAATTCAGTAATTAGGTCTACTTTTGTTGTACAGGCATCCATACCACGTCTCACTAGAGAGAAGGTTGAGTGTGAATGTCTCCTGTGTTATGACTGTGTAGGACAGCCTAGGTGAGACTTTATGCTCTTGTGGCCGTATCGGTTCACAGGGGCCCCTTGAGTACAACGTGCTGTGCAGTGAAAAGGAAGTCGTTGTCCGCCAGTGCTAATTCAAATCTGATTTTCCTAAGGCCCGCAAAACGGGCCTATACAGGTTTAGGATCCCATTTTCTTTGGGACTCTGCCATCAGGATGTTGAGTCCTTGGCGCTGACCCTCCAACAGCCAGCGGCCGTTCCGGTGAGCGTGCAGCACCCGGACCATCTGGACCCTCCAAGGTAGTCCTAGAATTTGTATTTAATACAGAGTACATGGTGTAGAATGACAAGTTATGATAGCAACATAATATAAGTTACGCTGTATCTATATGTACATATAAATATGTGTGGAGTAGATTGTACTATGATGGATTATCGGGGGTCCCATTTTGAGTGCTAGGCACAGGACGTGCCAACATCGGAAAATGTGAGGATTGCAGGCTGAGGCATCTCGGGTTTCAACGGCCGCGCCGCACAACTGCGGCATCAAGTGACTCATAACGTCTCGTGAGTCTTATGGTCTAGCAGAGTTTTACTTGAAGCACTTTCACCAGGCTTTCCCCACGGGCAAAAATTCGCTCATTGAAAATCTGCATTTTGCAATGCAATGCATTTTCGAAGTGTTTTCTCGTGAGAGACAGGTGGGCTGCCTTGGAGACAGATGTTGCAGGTGTCAATCTGTTTGTTCCGCTTCGCAGTCTCCGTCTGTTGCAATTCAAGAGCTCTCTGATTCCGATACTGGGGCTTGGGTTACCTCCGGTCCAAATTGCCTGAGGTAACTGAACCTGAAGCTAGTTTTCTTCTCTCGGCCGAAAAGTTCTAGTTTGGTGAGCTGCCTTGCCTAGTGTGCGAAAGTCCTACCAATCCCCACGTGTGTCATGAGCTACACACGCGGGAGAGGTGCTTAGAGTTTTATGATCCTCAGTTGCATGTCGTCGTTTCTCTTCTGAAGCTGCTTTGTTTCTGTTCTGGAAGCCGCAAGCCCCACAAAGCCACTCGGGTTTGTCCTGATCCCATCTAGGCGCCATGCTCTCATGGACTTCTATGAAGAGCTCTGGCTCAAATGCATAGCCTTGCCGCACCTGTGGCTATGCCACTGTTGCTTTGAAAAAATATTTCCATATGTAGGCGGCCATCTCGATGGCCTGGGCATGGCCACAGTTCATCCTGTGGCTATGTCTCGTACGCTGCGCCGCGGAGCGGCCGGCGACTCTCCTCGGCGTTCTCAGCACCAACGATGAGGCTGCGGCTTCGGCACTTCAGGAGCGCCAGGGGTTTCAAGAGGCGTGGGAGCTGTGAGATGCGATCGGTGATATCAGGTAAAGCAATGGCAAGGATGTTTTCCATTTCTTGTGGGGGTTTTACTTGATTGGTTTAGGTCCCCTCCTGCCCAACGAACTTTGAAGTGAAATTTGCGAGGGGACCCTGAAACGAAAGGATTATTGAACCACAACGAGCAGCTTCAAGAGAACAACGTGACCCCAACAAATCACACAGCCAGAAAAGTCCTTCTTTGAGGTGCACAGATCGGGGGACACCATTATTCCGGGATCCCTATTTCAGCATCCTTCAAACAGTCATTGTACCTTTGTTTTGCAGACGACGTGAGAAACTCCCTCGTATTGATGCGCGATTGCGTGGACATCTCTGAGGTGGCATCTCTGAGGTGTATCGCTTGTTGGATTAGGTTTTACAGCAAGATGTTTTCAACACCTGGGCCCCCACTGGTAAACCCTGACACCCCTAAACCCCAAACTTCGAACCCTCAACCCGAAAGCCTAAACCCTGAACCCGAAACCAAAGGGGTCCAGCGGGCCGTGGGCCAGGGCCACAACCCTTAAACCCTAAACCCGGAAAGGGGTGCCCAAGGCAGGTAGTGGGTATGTTCTCCCGGAAGGGCTTGTGCAAAGTTTAGGAATTTGTGGAGGTCACGTTGTTGGGCTTTAGGGTTTTAGGAGTTTAGGGTTTGCGCGGGTCCGACACAAAAGCCCTTGAACCCTTTGAAAGCAGGGCCGGGGCCACAGCCGCGGGCACGAAAAGCAGCTCCATGGCGCGCTGGCAGGACTGCCACCGCAGGTTCCCCTTCCTTTTTCCATCCTTTCCCTGCCCCTCTTTCCTGAGGCCTCCTGATACAGACTCTGAATGATAGGACTTCTGCTCCTCTACACTTGTTTCGTTTTGTAAAGCATTCTATCTACGAGAAGTCCGGAGTGTCAGAGCCATGCGCATTTTGGGCATTCAGGTTGCCAGGGCAGCTTCTAAAGCCTGCCTTAAACCTTAAGACTCTGAAACCACGAAAGCCTTACGCCCGTAACCCTAAACTTTCAAAGCCCTGAACCCTAAAACCATAAACCCTAAAAGCCTAAGCCACAAAAACCCTAAACCCGAACACCCTACCTACAAAATCCCTGAACCTTACCCCTAAACTTCGAAACCCAAGGACTTCAAAACCTTTGAGACCCCTAAACCCTTAAAACCCTTAACCCTTGCACCCTACAACCCTAAACCCTCAAAGCCCCTAAACCTTGAAACCCTAAACCCAAAAACCCTGGACCCTAAACCTTAAATTTAAAAGCCCCAAGACTTTCAAACCTTGAAGCCCTAAACCCCAAACCCTAAAGCCCAAGCCCTCATAACCGTAAACCTCCCAAAAACCCTAAACCCTAAATCCTAAACCTTAAACCCGAAACCCTAAACGCTAAACCCTAAACCCACAACCCCGAACCCTAGACCCCTAAACTTCAAAGCTCCAAGGCTTGCAAACCTTGGAGCCCTAATCGCTAAACCCTCAACGCCCTAAACCCTTAAAACCCTGAACGCTTGAAACCCTGAGCCCTTAGAATCCTAAACCTTAACACCCTAAGCCCTAAAACCCTAGACCCTAAACCTTTGCGGCCCTAAGCCCCTAAATCTTCAAACTTTAAAACTCAAATTCTTCAGGTCCTGAAGCCTCACTTCTGAAACGCAAAGACCGTAAGGCGTCAGAGACCTAAACTCTAAACCCTTAAAACTTGAATCCCTACACCCTTAAGACCCTAAACCCCCCAAACCCAAAAACCCTGAAACCTGAACCCTTCAGCTTAAACTCAAAAGCGCTCAGACTTTAAAAGCTTGTTGCCCTAACCCTCAAACCCTTAACGCCCAAAGCCCTGAATGCCTTAGACCCTTCAACCGAGCAAAACCCTCAAAACTCCAAACCCATGAAGCCCTAAACCCTTCAAACCCTAAAACTGAAACCTCAAACCTGAAAACCCTGAACCCTAAAGCCTTGATTTGGAAACCAGGACTTGAAAGCCTCAGAGCCCCTTTAGACCCTGAAAACCCTAAACCCTTAAAACCCGGAGCCCTTAACGCCCTAAGCCCTTGAAATCCTACATTCTAAACTCTACCCAAAAACCTTGAACCCAAGACCCTCAGCCTTTAAATCTTAAGACTTTCCTAAACCCTTCAAGCCCTACAGCCTTGCAATCCTGAGCCCTAACTTGTCCCTTAACCTTCAAACTCTAAACCCGAATTCCCTGAATCGCAAACCCTACACACTAGACTTCAGAACTCTACAAGTTTAAAACCTGAGAGCCCTGCTCTGAAACCTTCAACCATTACAGCTCCAAAGTTTTCGAACCCTACACCCTCAAAGCCCGAAATTCTCAAAGCCCTAAAGCACAAAACTTTGCATGAACCCCAAACCCCAAATCCTTAAAATCCCCGAACGGTTAAGAGCCTAAACCCTTCAAACCCTAGATCCCAAAGCCCTGAACCCTAAGCTTTAAAACCCTCAACGCCGGGCTTGAATTGAGGGTTCAGTGCTTAAGGATGTAGCCGTTGATGCCTCAGCTTGGTGCTAGACCTTCTCCCATTTTGGGTTTAGGGTTGAAGGTTTTCGGGTGTAAGGGTTTAGGGTTTACGGTTCGATAAGGGTTTGGGGCTTCGGGTTCAAGGTTTTGAGGTTTAGGAGTTTAGGGTCTAGAAGACCCCAAAGGAAGTAGAGACACAAAGGCCACTGGCCTGGGTAAGCAACAGGATTTCAAGCAGCATTCTCCGTTTAAGGATCGCCCGTTCTCTTGCAGCTACTGCTGTTCCTTTCGTTGTGGGACCATATTTTCTGCCCTGGATCGCAGAGTAACAAAGTTAGGTCGCCCTTTAATGCAAGCACCGCATCCGGAGCTTTAGGCAGCCTGTCGTTGAGAGGACAGCCGTCGAATGAACCGACGCCCAACTGCTGCATGACCGCATGTAGACCTCTCTCAGCGCCATGGGATTACATCTTGTCCCCTAGACCCTAAACCCTAAACCTGGAGCCCCGAAAGTCAAACCTCAAACAGCAAACCCCAAGCTATTAAGTCGGTGCCTCACTACAGACCTGAGGTTCCAATGACGAGCATGAGGCATTTCGTGTTCTCAGTGCCCTGGGTGTTCAAGAGCACTTGCTTCAAGGAGCTCGGGGCACTCTCCAGGTTTGCAAGATCTTGGGTTGTAGATGGATGCATCAGCGTTATGAGAAGTCGCAGTGTTCCTTCGTGGCTCCTTTTGTGCCCCGTTGCGCTGGAAACGCGAGACTTGAGTCTACCGCAGTTGGGGTAGGATCGCCTTTGACATGTCACAACTGAATCTGCTATCACTTTTGCATAAAGCCTGCTCCCTCAGGAGATTACTGTGGCTGGCCTGGCTGGCCTGGCATCAATTGCCGTGGCAAGTGTGTGGTGTCCATCCTGCTCGGCAAGGACTCCTGTCATGAGGCCATGGTGCCGAATTTGAAGCAAACCCTGCTAGGACACTCGTGGAAAGCTACCAGAATTATGGCACTTCGGCAACCTGCTGAAATTGGACATTGCATCGGCGAATGTCGCAGGCGACATCAAGGCTTTGGAAGAGTGCACAGACCTCAAGCTCCTAAGTCTTAGAGGAGCTACAATCATGGGTGACATCCGGGCGCTTGCGAACATGAAGCTGCTGAAGAAGGTGGATCTCCGTGGCACCCAAGTTTCTGGTGACGTCAAGGTCTTTGAGGGATTGGCGGGCTTACGGGTTCTTTTAATCAAACGCACACCAGTCTATGGCGACATCCAAGCCTTCCAAGCATCAGTGCAGCTTTACCGTCTTGAACTCTCAGGCACACAAGTCTATGGTGACATTCGTGCCTTCGAGGCCACTCGCAGGTTACGGCGTCTGAGTCTCACGGCCACTCGAATTTCAGGTAACATCCAGGCCTTTGAGAAGACCAAGTTGTTGGAAGATCTTATATTGAGCCTCACCGAGGTTGAAGGCGATATCAAAGCCTTTAATACCACGCGGCGCTTACAACAGCTGCACTTGGCATCCACAAATGTGTGTGGAGATATCGTCGCCCTGCGGGGTGCCACGCTTCTCCGGGACATCTTCCTTAGATCAACCAATGTGCAGGGCGACATTGAGGCATTTGTTTCCACATCAAGCTTAGAGAAGTTGATGCTTGGCGAAAGCAAGGTGTCTGGAAATGTGGGTATTCTCAATTCGACTGCCTTCAGCAAACTGTGGAAACTAGAGTTGGACCACACAAATGTGGTTGGAAATGTTGTCTTTATCGGCTCTCTCCCTGCGCTGCAAGTAGTGAATCTTGCAGCGACGCGCGTTTGGGGCGACATTGACGTTTTCGGCCGCAACAAGAGACTTGAAGCTGTTTATTGTCAGAACATGGACTTGAAGGGGGATATCCGAAGCTTTGAGCACCTTACGTTGCTGACTTACGTGGACATGTCCTTCACCAAAGTAGCTGGAGATGTCGCAGTCTTCGCAGGCAAGCAGTTTCTTCACACTTTGAAGCTTGCGTCGACCAGGGTCTTCGGTGACATCGGAGATTTGGTCTCGTGGGACAATGTCTTCGAGGTTCTGGAGCTCTCCTCCACATCAGTCGCTGGAAACGTCTGGGTGTTTCAACATGCCTCTTATCTCAAGGAGCTCTACCTTGCAGATACCCAGGTGACCGGAAGTATGGATGGCATTTTACATTGGGAAAAGGTGCAAGTTATTGACCTCTCGAAGACTTTGGTGGAAGGAAGATTAACACGTCGCTGGCGTGGCTGCTGCAAGGAGTTGCGCACTCTGAGGCTTTCTGACCCGGGCTCAGTAGCCCCCAATATTACATTCGAAACAGTGCGGTAGCGATTTTGGTCCACATTTTTTGTCCTGACACTTGCTCCTAAGGGCAGCGGAGTTCAATTCATCCCTGCTGGTGATGATCGGGTGGATTTGCTGCAGTTGCCGCAGTATATGCACCCGGACCAGGCAATACTTCCTGCGTTGACAACGCTGGAGGTACTTTGTTGAATCCAGCACTTTTTCGATATGCCTCGGTATGCCCCTTCGTGAAGACTAACTAGGCTTGCAGGGCGCAGTTTCATTGCCATGCAGGTGTCAGGTTGCCAATTACAGGGGCCAGCTTCCGATCTGCTACTTCCGCTCGCATTCTGCGAGCACTTGGGTAGCGTTCTGGCCGCAGAATCCGGGCTGACCGGAGACCTTCCAACCACTGACCCGCTGAAGGCTTTCAGTGCGGGTGCTTACGGAATCTATAATGACGTCCGTAGCCCTCTTTCAACTTCGCTGGAGGTCTTGGACTTGTCAGGGAACAACCTTAGTCGCATTGCAGCCGTCCCACAGGCAATGCACTCAATAGGCTTGTCTTCGAACAAGCAGCCTCTCCAGCTGGCGGAGGGTGTGCTAACAAAAGCTTGCAAATCAAAAGTGTTGATTGACCTGAGGGGCACTTCTCTGGACGACGGTTCCTTGTACGAGATACGCAAGTTGATTGAAACAGGTGCGGTGAGTCTGACCAAGCAACAAGGAGCATTTGTGCGCCCTTCGAAGGGCTACAAATGCTTTGACCTCGACAGGAGCAGCACGACACTACAAGTGACGCCATCCACAATCATGCCGCATGAGTGGTGCACCTGTCTAAGAGGCTGGTCCGGTGTGGGGACCAACTGCACGGAATGCCCTGAGAATTTTTTCAGCCACAAGCCAAACTTGTCGAGCTGCACGCCCTGCCCGGCGCACACCAAAAGCTCCAAACGATCCAAAGACGTACACGACTGCAAGTGTCAGGTCGGGTCCTTGCACAGGGTGAAAGGTGAGTGGCTGTGCGGATGTCCTGATGATCAAGCTTTGCTGAACGACAACTGCGTGCCATGTCCTGAGACTTGGCTGCAAGCCTGCACTGCCTTCGTGTCCATGACCGTAGATTGCTTCATGGCTTTTCAGGTGTGGCGCAGTAAATGAGTCTTGTGGTCCCGCCGTGCTGGACACGTGAGGCCCGCCATTTGAATTGCTCCGGATACTCCAGCAACGCGACCACCGCACAACCTCTCCCGGGCTACGCTCGTTTGGAACTTAAGGCTGATGAAGCCTTCCAGTGCCTGGACAGAAAGCGTTGCCCTGGCGATGGTAGGGCTGCCTCGGGCCTTGGCTGTGGAAGTGGCTCCTTGGATCACAAGGCGCAGCGTCAATACCCGGCCGTCTTGCTGTTGCTATGATTTACCACGTACGAAGCCACACTAGAGCAGTTTCCTGAAGTTTGGAAATCGCACAGAGATTTTGGTCAACAGCACGGTTTGCTTGAAGCTCGGGGTTCATTCTGAGGCTACGACGGCCCACTGTGCACGGGCTGCCACGAGACATTCTTCGCCGCAGGCAACTCTTGTCTCCCGTGCTCCAACAAAGACCAGCACATACCCGCCCGGGTGATCCATGCCATGGCCTGCGTCACCATCGTGGCTTTGTTGTGGGCCGGCGTGGTGGCCGTCGCCTACTTCGTGTATTCCTGGCGTCCCGGGCAGTGGCTAGAAGCGCAGTTGCAGACATTGCGCCAGGCCGTGTTCGCTGAGGGAGTTGTTGGCTCCTTGCAGGAGAAGCTCCTCAAAAGCCAGGCGCCCATCTTACTCCAGATGTGCCAGCTGCTTTCTCAGGCCAAGGGGGAATTTTCGTAGATTTATTTGGGTTTTTGTGTGTTTTGAAATAAGTGTACAAATTGCTCTTAGACTTCTCTTTCTTGGAGAAACAAGGCTTTGGGTCGTCTTGGCCGTGCTGGCCAGAAACAAAGAGGAGGACGGTCACGAGGCCTCTTCGAGCAGACTCTGGGAGCTGCCCTACATGCAAACCTTGCAGTTTGCCATCGGGAACTTGCAGGAGCTAGACCTTTAACCCGTCAGAAAACCTTTGCTTTAGGGCTCTTAGGTTTTATTTAGGCATGGAGTTCTTGTAATTGTAGCCCAACAAATTGTGGGTTCCACAGGTCGAGGTTGGAGGTGTCGTTAAGAATGGGTTTCGGCTTTGAGTCACAGAGGTGGATCCATTGTTAAAGAATGGGGTTTCGGCGTTGCAAGGAGGCATTTTTTCGCCTGCGTTTTCGTATTTGGCAAGGGAAAGCTTATGAGGTAGGAGACGCAGAGAGGCTAGTGGCCTGCATCATCTGCAGTGGAATTACATGGGTTCTGCACTCAGTAACAGCTGATAAGAATTAGAGGAATACATTTGGTTTCCTGCTGGTGGTACAGACGAAACAGTTGTAGAATCTGCAGGAGCTGCTCTACTTGCAATGCTACCTTGGAGGGCCCCCTGTTCGGCTGGCCCTGGCCATCCTCACGCCGGTGCTACCCCTCGCGCTGCTGCTATGCAGCTCGGGCATTGAGGTCTTCCGACGTGGAGCAGGAGCGAGCAACCCTAAATCCAACACCCGAACACCCAACCCCAAAACCCTACACTCGAAGTTGCCGGACAACGTAGCTTGCATTGCCACGGCATAGGGAGCCTCAGGCTCGTTTTTCGAAGATACTTCTCAGGGAATTTACATTATGACCGGGCTAGGCAGAACTTTTGGTTTCACTCATTGGGTCCCAAGACAAGAACTCCGTCTTTGTATTATACATTGACCTCGGAGGTCTCGGTCTCAGAAGAGTTTCAAGGCATGCTGTCACCGCATGACTCCCTAAAGCTGTACACTCTCAGCTCTACGACTCTAAACCCAAAACTTTGTTCCCTAAACCCGCAAAGGGCCTTGGAAGGAGTCAGCGCAGCGTTGAAGGTCCTGCCGATTTTCTTCATCGGAGGCGCGTCGAAGTGCTTCGCACTACGCAGCTGCCAGCTTTTTGATGCAGGACCTGCATAGGTTCTTGTGGATTGTGAGGTCTGGACGTTGAGGGGTTGAGGGTTTAGTGTTGAGCGCTTAGGGCTTGTGGGGTTGAGGTCTGGTAGATTTTGATGGTTTCGGGTTCATTTTTTTGGCGGTCATGGCTATAAGGTGTCCAACATCTACAGAGGGTCCCCGTTTGTATGGGGACCCTGCATTGGTTTTCTCATTTTGAGACAGGCGTGACCAACGTGAGGGACATCACTAGAACTAAAACCTCAAACCGCCAGCAAGATACACTAAACTGGAACCCCTTACCCCGAAGACCTGACGGCTCAACCTGAATTTTGCACTCTGCGGACGGCACTCACACCACGAACCGCCGGTGGTGGACCTGGTCGTTTGGGCCCGAGGTCTTCGTTTACGAGTTGTATTCTTACCTTCCTGTTAAGACTCCTCTTCAGCTCGGGCTTTCGGTAGCCAAAGCAGAGGGCTGCGAGCTTGCAGTTTCAAGTATGAAGGCCACGGAAGGCTCCCAACACCCTAAGAAGGGGAGGAGCTCTTGGGTTCTGTTGAAGGATGTATTTGTGAAAAGTTCATGTGGAGAACTTGGAGCCTGCAGCTCCCTTTTTGCCGTGTTTTGCTAGGTTTAAGGGTGGCCCCCCTCCGCAAAGAAGTTTCCAAGGAAAAAGGGTGCAACTGTCATTGCGCGGTCACTATGGGACTTAGATGTGCTCAAAGTCCACAGGAGGCGAGCCACTCGAGAACTTCGCTTTCCTGAGGCAGGACGATGTTCCCGTGTAGCCCTGGGTTTCGAGTGTAGGGTTCAGGGTTAAGGGTTCAGGGTTTTTGGTGGCTGGAGGGTTTGGGGTTTAGGGTTAGCGTTCCCGGTTAAGGGCTTAGAGTTGCAAGGTTCAGGTTTCTGGGAGTTGAGGTTTTGGTGTTGAGGGTGTGTTGTTGAAGCCGTGTTGGAGCCCCAACAGCACACAGCTGGTGTGAGGGGCTTTCTATACATTGCCATGGTGTATGTTTGACGCCATCACTATCACTTCACCGTGTATGTTCTCCGTGACAGCTAGCAGTCCATCGCATTGCCTTCCCGGCATTCCCGCCTACATGTTCCGTTTGCGCGTCTTAAAACATGTGGCATGTGCGACTTTACACCACCTATAGGATTGCACGGATTTCCCGAACGGAAAAGGCAAGGGGTGCCCAACAAGAGAATCATGGAAACAGCCTGCTGGTGGTATACCTTGGGAACCCAGAACCCTTTTGAGGGGTTATTCTTTACCAGCTTTCATAGAAGAGCCGCAAGAAAAAGGATGGATTAGGTTCCCAAAGTAGGCACCTCTGTAAGCTCCACCCACTCAAGTCAAGCCGTTTATTTGGGGGCTCCCCGTCGGGTATGTGCTGTGAAGCGCCCTAGAAGAGGGTGGGTACAGCCTAGGCAGGTTTCGAAATCAGGGTTTAGCGTTTGGGCGTGCTACGGCAGGCCTTTCATTTCTTCCCCAGGCAGCTGCCCGATCTTCGTTGCGACCAAGATGTGGCCTGGGCCGACTCTTCGCCGGAGCAGAAGCTTGCCGGGGCCCTGGAAGAAGGTGAGCCAGACGTACACAACCTTAGGAAATACAGCTGAGGGTTCAGGGTTGACAAGTTAGGGTGTAGAGTTCAGGGCTTAGGGTTTAGTTAGCGAGTTTAGGGTTTGGCGCAGGGTTGAATTTACGGTTGAAGGTTGAGGGTGTGTTGTCGCTGGGGGAGGGGGCAAACCCAGACTGCTGCTACTGGCACATGGCAGCCAAGTAGCCCGTCCCATCCTGAGACCAAGCAACTTCTCCCCTGAAGTTGTTAGCATGAAGGGGGGGCTGCCCCAGCCCCCAGCATGCAACCAGACGGTCTGTGGAACAGGCCCGCTTGGCTTTCCTTTTGTTGGGGTGGGCAGCTTCCCAGCGTGGATCTGTGAAATGAAGTGGCCAATGCTTTGCGCCTGCAACATGTTTGCTGCACTGCTGAGGTATCCTCAGTTTTCTGGCCTTGCGCAATATGCTACGGCATCCTGATTCCCTGCTTCCTCTTCTACCTCTACTTTCGCCAGCACGTGCTTCTGCGCTACAGCCGGGTTCCCTTGCAACTCACGCAGGGCGGCAAGGAGCAGCACTTGGCGGTTGGTGTGCAGGAGCGATATGTGATCCTCAGCATTTTCTCTGTGGGTCTTGGGTAGGGTATGGATTTTTCACTGTATTCAAACTGCGAGGGCGAAGGCATCATCGGAAGCAACATGCTACTGATTAAGATTTCGAGGTTCAAGAGTTTGGATACCTCTCGGGTTTTCGGGTCAGTTACCAAGTTGCACTCTCCGGTTTCAAACTCTTGCGTAAGATTTCGGGTCTAGGCCTTACAGGTTAGGGTTTTGGGGTTTAGAGTATGGCGTTTTTGGTTTGGAGTTTTAGGGATTCAGGGGTTCAGGTTTCAGGGCGTGCATAGCCTCGAGCAGTGCAGGACAGGATGCTGGAGAGGCGCGTGGTGGCAGCTGCAGTGGCCTACATTGCCATGATGCAGCAAGGCACCGTCAGAATCCAACTCAGAAGCGGGAAGGGGAGACTTGGCGAACGTTAACAACTGGGTTCTAGGATGTTTTGGTGTTCCTAAAGCCTAAGGCCCCAAGCCCTAAAGCCTCTAAACCGATTTAAAATGTAGAGTCTTAGATTTTTTACGATTACGGGTTTAAGCGGTTGGGGGTTTGAGGGTTCAGAGTGGTTGGCGGTTTAGGCTTTGTTGTTCAGGGTGTAGGGGTCATTGGTTGGAGATTCTGGGGCATTTTGGCTGTGGGTTCCAGGGTCCTGGCGGTTGTGGGTTTACAGACTTTGGACGTAGAGGACTTCAGGGCTTTAATTGCCTGGGCATGCGCAGGTTCCAAGTGCGAAAGTGCGCAGCACTTTAAACACCACTAACAAGAAACCCAACGACAGTATGCGACACATGTACGCTGGAAGGCGCGTGCAACAAACACAACATAAATACGCGATCGCGCTCACTAAAACAAGCAAACTTTTACTTGATTGAATCGAAGATACCTTCCCCAAGAGGAGGCATCCTCTTGTGCCCAACACCGCACGAGACTCAGCCTCGCATTTCACAGATTGGCAGGCCTGTATCCCATCCGGACAGGGCGTGGCCGAAGTCGAAGGACGGAGATATTTGAGATGCGTCCGACCAACATGATTCACGACAACCAACATCCGGCCGAGGCGAACAGATCGGTACAGATTGCCGAAAGAGCAGGCAAAGTTGGAATACCTTTCTACCAAGAGAAATCTTCTCGGGACGCACAAACTTGCCAGAGATTGCAGGAACATTTAGCCTTTTCTCTAAAAAGAAGCATCCCCTCATTGGGGCTGTAGCCGTGCTCACTTCTCGTTTTTGCCCTTGCCTTTGGGCATCGTGGTTTTCTCGCCCTTCTCCCCGACGTCGGCTTCTTCACATCCGCGAACACGATTCTGCCATTGGCGAAGTTTTTGTCTTGAGGCAGCTTAATTCTGGGACTGGATAGATGTTCCTGTCTGCGAAGTGTCCGCTACGACTTTGAGATCCGCCTTGGATGCAACGTGACCAAGAAGGTGCTACTGTCGTTGTCGGAGAGGTTGTTGCTGATGCATCCTGACTCTGCACCCCGGATCGACGGGCTTATGGGGACCATGTTAACCGCGGGATAGCATCAGTGAGGCTTTTCCTGTCCGCCAGTGGGATTCGAACCACTCAGGTTCTAGTGCGAGAGCAGAGCTCCACCGCACAACTTCCTCAGCCATACCGGGGCTCTACTGGACTTGCGCGAAAAAAGAGTAGATCTTCGAGATGTGCAGCATCGATTCAGAGACAGAAATTTTGTATTCCACTTGCGGCCTGACCTTATCAGCCCGCTGTTGGCCTGGATGGTTGTGATCTCCTTTCAACACGCACAATGTTACGCATTGGAACTCTGGCAAAGTCTTCCAGTCATCTGACGAGAGTTCTTGAGGGGAGCGCCGAACATGTCTGCGTAGAAGTTCAGCAAGCGGGGTTATCAGTCGCAATGTTGCTGAGGGTGAGCAAGTCGTTGCCCGCAGCAACAGTGAAAACAAGGCAGATATACCGCATTATCGCGTGAAAACAGTTGGCGGTGCTTGACGGAGGAACTGGCCTACTTCACGCCTCCGAAAAGATAGGTCATATAACGCCTCCTGCCAGGTTAGAAAAGTAGTCTGTCAACATCGCCCCCTCGCTTTGTGGCCAAGCTAGGAGATCTGGATGCTGCTAGTTGTGTTGTTGACGTGCAAATTGCAGACGCGGACGTGGTGGAGACTAGCACGATAGAGTTCTGTTGTCATCGTTTTCGTAGGCGGAGCGGTTCGGTTCCTTTTCCTCCGAGAGTGTTCTCACAAGGGGTGGTCTTGCCGAAACACCTGTCGACGTCCATGTAGCTGACACGCGCGTGGGAATGCACATCCCAAGGGCAACTGTTGCTTGCCACCATCTCCAGCTGTGCAATTGCGGCAAAGCGTCCATCCAACTTGCGAAGGAAATCAATTGTTTCGTCGTTGAACGTTGAGGCTTCCTGGACTATACTTTGGCCCGAGCCAAGTCCGGGACCTGCAAACTCGTACCAGAAGAGCGGTCGATGACATATCGCTGCAAACAAGCTGGCCAGGTGTCCTTACGTCCTCGAGCAAAAAGGAATGATCTCAAACTGCAAAGTGGGACGCTTTTGATGTCCGACCTAAAGCTCAAGAGTGGCTGCTGATTTCCCTTGTCTAGCTCAAGTCAAGACTGTCGCACAGAGCAAATTGAAGTACAGGAGAAATGCGGAAAACAACTCACTTTTCGCGGCATTTTTCTTCAGCACCCAGGCCAATCGCTTGAGGATCTTGGAGCTAACCGCAATGAAGAGAGCCTTCCGCCGGAATTCAAAAGGACTCGTCTCGTTCATTGCTCTGATGGAAAAATCGCGGATTCCACGCTATCAAGGTGTCGCGAAGGACCTTGGGCCGGGCATGGCATGCAGCGGCGATTGACCACACAAAGTGCAACTGGTTTATTTCACACCAAACCGCTAAACCTCTAAACCTTTAAACAGATTAACCTTAAAGCCCCCCATAAATCCTAATCCAGAAAGCCCCCCAAAACATCAATGATGACGGGAAAAACAGAAGAGGGTAACTCCTACCTATATCAGCAGTTCCCTCAACCATAAGCCAGAACTCTGAGTTTGGTGACCTTTATGGACAAGCCCGACAGCTTGGCTTTGGAGTTGGAGGTTTGGAGAGCTCCGGAGGGGTGTTGGCAGGATTTTAGAGGGTTGAGGTGGTTTTAGGATTTACGGAGGCTCGGGTTCAGGGTTTCAAGGTTTGGGAGTTTAGGGTTTGTATTCGCACTTGTGATTTCACGGTTTCGTTTTATTCCTTTCCCCGTTGTGTGGGTTTGAGTTTGTTTTTCTTGTACCGTGTTCAGAAGAATGTTGGGTCTAAGGCTGTGGGTATAGTCAAGGTTGAGGTTTTTTGGGGTTCAGAGCGGTTTACGAGTGGCCTCTAGAAAGTCAGCTGCCGGGATGTTTCGGGTTCGTGAACCCTCCCAGAGCTTTGGAAGAACCCCAAGACTCGTTACGCTAGGGGGTTCACGGGTTGGGGGTAGGAACTTTTTGGTACAGGCATCAGGGTTAAGGTTCTGTTCGGGGCACCTTTAGAATTCAGCCTCTATTTAAAGAGTAGAAGCCAGTCGAATTTAAGAGTTTTGGAACACTAGCTGGCGAAGGTAAACCTCCGACCCTATACCCTGTAATCCATAAACTTCAAGCCAAAAATCCCAATCCCTAGACTCCAAGCTCTTTCCTCAACCCCCAAATCCTTAGCCCACCGGTATGCAGGTGGATGCGACCAGCAACCACTTCAAGAAGGAGTCGGACAAACTCCGCCATCATCACATCACAGAGACATGGTTTTCTCAGTGGTATTTTGGGGGGGTTGTTGTTGGGGCTGCGGGGTCCTCATACGACAAATCTGCCCGAAAATGATGCCTCATTTTCGAAAACCTCAAAACAACAACCGTATGCCCCAAACCTAACCAGCACTTAGGAGATGTTGCTTGAGCAGACCATCCTCGAAGAGGCCTGGTGCTTCGTGAGCATCCTAGCATCCTAGCCTACAAGAACCCTTTCTTGGACATTCTCCGAACTCAGGTGCCCTATCTCTTTGCCCTCTTAGCCCACTAGGAAGCGTCCTAAACCTAGAGAGACGACAATCTGAAACAAAAGCGAAGCCTGCAAAGAAAGAGAAGGTAAAGCTATGACCCGGCAGCTCGGGATGAAGAAGACGAACAAGAGCGAACTCAGAATCTGAAAGACAGAAAGTGAAGCCCCAAGCCGTATGGTAAACCATAAATTCGCAAGTCCCCGACACCAAAACTCCACTTAACGAAGAGATCAGCCCACCCTGGCCAGGTGTGCAAATCAGACCGCGCCTTGGTAGCAAATGTAATGTTGGGAGATAAGTTTCGTCGCAAAAATTTGGGTATTTTTGGGCTTTTAGGGGCTTTTGGGGCTAGGATTCGGGGTTCATCATCTATGGTCCCAGGTATACTAGATTTCGGGGTTCTTCGGTTTCATGGGATCCACTGTTTTCTTTCCTGTTGGTGGGGTGAAATAACTGGCTACACAGAGTGTTTTCAATCATCAACGCATGATGTTCCTGGCTTCGAGCTTCTTAGCCATGTACGGGTAACAGAGACCACTGTTCGCCCTGTTCACTGCACCTTGTGAGGTCAGTAGCACTCAGGGACAGTCTCAGCGTTCAAGGTTTCAAGTGGTTCCAATAGTTTCGGGCTTACGGAGTTAAGAACGTGCCGTAGCCCGCATATAACAGACCGAATACAGGACTTATTGCGTAGGTCAGCGAGGGTAAATTGGGCAGGGATTGAACGATGGCGAGGGGAGAACGTCGCACCGAATCTTACATCAGAATGCTCCTAGAACGAGAATATCTGGTGTTTGCAATTCTCCTGTAAAACCCTACATTCCAAGAGCTTCGTAAAATCCGACGGTTTCAGCCCCCACCCTCACGCAACAACTCAGGTTTCCTGGCAGGAGCGCAGGAGACGCTCCTCAAATACGCCGCCCGGGAGCAAAGCAGGAGGGTTCTTGGAGCAATCCGCCTCCTGCAAGTTGAAGTTTCGAATCAAAAAAGGAACCGTCAGGTGGCTCTCGTTTCGAGTTCGGCTGCTTGAAACAGAGAGACCTGAAACCCAAACACTAGACACATTAAACCCTACACTCTAGAGCCCGATCCCAGGGATCCCAGAAGATAAAAAGGGGGGATGGGATGCAAACCGTGGAGCATGCTAAGGCAAGTTGCCGAGATCTGTGGATGGAGGTGGTGCTGAGGTTGGTGGCCGTGGCTCTAGTCAAGGTCCCTCGACTCTGATCTTTGGAGAAAGACTTGCAGGTCCATGGTACGGGACAAAACGCCATGGTGCCAAGCATTGCGACAATTGCTATTGTAATTATAAGCCGCTTTTATATGTCCCGAAACTAGCTTACCTTAGAGTGCACTTCGATTGTAAGGGTAGCAAGCACCATGGACCTCCAAGTA